AAAGCAGTATGGAAGCAGAGACTACAGTGCCAGACATTGCAGGGTTGGGAGGGGAAGGGAGGGACAAGGGCGACACAAAAAGCAGAGAACACTTGATTGGGATTTTGAAGCTTAAGTAGAAGTTTTCTAGGCTGGCCACTTATTCTCCAAGTATTTAGTAAGTACCTATTGTGGGTCTGACAGTGTTCTAGGAGCTTGGTATCCATCTGTGGTGGGGAGAAGACTTCTGTAAATCAGGGGTTTACATTCCAGAGGACCAGGGGAGAGGAGGCTCCAGGCAGAGGGAACAGCACAGGGAGGAGCAAGAAGGTGTGTCTTTGGGAGGAAGAATATGGGTTCATCGAGTGAGGTGGGTTTGAAGGGTAAGTTGAGAAGAACTCATGAAGAATGGGGCCAGGAACCAGGGGCCAGAAGATTCCAAACACCTAAGGGCAAACAACAATAAAGGGAGAGTTTTAGATTTGGCTGGGAAAGTGCCAAGAGGAGGAAAGAGTCTTGTTCTTGCTCACTGACCTAGTGCTCTTGACTGCATCAGTGATTATTTTTTAATACTCATCTTTCTATTGTTCTCCTATGTTATGCCATAGATACAACCATGGAAAATCTGGAACTCCAGAAACAAGTTTTTTGTGCCATTTAAGAGAAAAAAATTTATTTTTGCTCATTATTCATCTTTTCATGTCTTATATTGACTTTGGTATTGAAAAAATATTCATTTCCACATTTAAAGCTGGAATCTCTATGTCAGGTAGCCAGGCTCCAGCATGGGTGGTTAAGTTGCTTATAAAATATGTGACACGTTTTAATTTCTTTAAATCAATCAGTCAATCATTTGTGATGCCTTTGGCAGGGAAAAGATAAAAAAAACAAGTTTTTATTTTATTAGGAAGCTGAGGTTGTCAACATTTCCAAATGAGAGGTCGCCTGACCCATGTTTCTGCAGATTGTTGGGGAAAAGTTAAAGTAGATAACTCCAAGGCTGAATTTGGATGTGGCTCTGCAGAGGGTTGGGGGTGGGTGGCGGGTCTTGTGTCCAAATGGGACCCACTGAGGCATGGGGGTGTGGGTGGAACAGAGGTTGGGGCAGCTGCTCCTGCCGTGAGCAAAAGGTGAGAAGATGGCAGCTGACCTCTGCCGGGGCCCAGTGGGGCTGCCTGGCCAGGTCAGGAAAAGGAGTCCAAGGACCAGTGGCAAGTAAGGAAGTAGAAGCGAAGACACGAAAGGGGGAGTAGGCAGGGAACCTTAAGGTCTCTGTAAGACAGGAAGAGACTGGGCTGATGGGGACACAACAAACGTGGGCAGGTGGGCACAAGGGTCTGCAGAGGCTGAGGAGCAGGTGGGGGCCATGTGGTGAGTGTGCCCAGCACAGAGCCTGGCCCACAGCAGGTGCTCGGTGAGTATCTACCAAATAGCTAAGTGAGTGTTCTTGACCTCCAGGCCGATCCCCTTTTCAATAGCTTTGGTACATTGTATCCTTTCTATGTGCTCAGAGGTACCCTTGCTAAAGACCTCCCATTCATTCCTTACCTCATTCTACAGATGGGGAAACTAAGGCTCAGAGAGGTTAAGTGGCTTAGCCAGGGTCACAAAGCTGCTAAGGAGTAGAATCAGGGCTGGAACCCGGTTCCATTGAGTCTAGCACCTAAGTTCTTGGTCTCTTGGGATCTTTTCCTGCAAAAGAAGAAACTGCAAAGACCAGCCCACATATGATTTTCTCGGGCCCCTTTCTCCATAAAAGCATACTAAAAATTCTAACTTACGGTTATCGATATAAAGATGAATATAACACAGGTTGGATTATATTCACTTTTTTCCCTTCTGATTTTAAAGAAATTAAAACATTTCTATGGACCCCTTAAAGGGCAAGGATAGGCAAGGTGCATACTGTGCCTGCCGGTGAAGCTGGCCCTGCTCAAAGATGCTTTAGGGGTGCGATCTCTATACCTAAGAAAGCAATCGGTCCCCTCTGAAACTAATCAAAGCCACCCTTTGGTCGTGGGTCAGGGGGTGCTCCCAAGGCACGTGCCAGGGACCCTGCAGGAGGTCAGCCCAGGCACGGCACTTCTTGGGACATTTCCACCTCTTCCACTGGACAGACAGAGAGAGGAAAGAGTGGGCTGCTCTGAGACTCAGAGACACAGAGCAGCCCAGGAAAATCCAGCCCGCCCCAAGCACCAGCCCTGCCCTGCCCTGGAGGTGGACGGAGCTGTGGGCTCCAGCAGCCTCCATCTGCTCCCTGGGAGGAGCTGGGCCCCCGTGGGTGTGAACCATGGCATCTGTGTCACCATGCAGCAGGGTGGGAGGACAACTGCCCCCACCTGGCCTCCCAGAGCCGGCAGGCCCACTCTCACCCTGGGCTCTAACAGTCTCCCTACCTCAGCCTCCAGGGACTTCAGTATTCTCCTCTGGAAAGCAAAGCCACCCTTCCTGGGGTTTCCTGCAAACCCATCCTTGTGGTTAGCTTTCTAAAAGAAGACATGAATAACAGGTAGCCCTTATTGTACCCCAGGCTCTGTGCTGCATGCTACACCTACTCAATGCTCCTGCCAACTCCGCAGTGTAGGAACTATTATTCCCATTAGGGAGCAATATGAGGTCAAGGGACTTGCTCAAGGTCACGCAGCAGTAAGTGCCTGGGTGAGGATTTGAACCCTGCCTGTCTGCTTCCAGAGTCCACACCAGGCCATCCTGCCTCTTGGGCTCCTGCTGCCGCCCAGATTAAATGACTCAATGCCTCCTATTGCCCCTTGGATAAAGCCTAAACGCCCCAGTCTGGCTCTCCAGGCCTGTCCTAGCCTGACCTTGGCCAAACCCTGTAAGGGCCGTACACATGCGTGCTGCACCCGCCGCCGTCCAGAACCTCCCTCTCGTTGTATCACACCCCTGCTTTGCCTGCGTGCAGACACCAGTTTCCTCAGCCTGGGAGACCCTTCCTAGAGGAGGACGTTCTCTAGGGCATTGTAGGCTTTGGAGTCAGCCCAACCTGGGTCTGAATCCCACCGCTGCCCCGGGCCCAGCTGTGCGACCTTGGACACGCCATCCCTTCTCTCTGGACACTGATTCCCTCCGCCGCACACTCGGAGCCACCAGGCCTACTTCCCACCCCGTGGGAACTCACTGAGAAGGGACATGGGGTGGGACAGGCACTGAGTGGGAATGTAGTGAATGTCCTTGGCTGGCCCCACCGTGGTCACCATCCACCCCTTCAGCTCTAACGTCACCTCCCCTGAGAGGCCTCCGTGAGTCCCTCAGACGGGCAGGGCTGTGAGCCTCCGAGGGTCTGCGTGGCCTCGGGACCCCAGCCCCGGGCCCACAGCCCACCATGCGTGTTGGGAGGAAAGAGCGGGAGGGAGGGGAAAGAGTTAAGTGGGTCAGAAGAAGGCGGTTGGGGGTTGATGAATGCGATTGGACAATGGAGAATAATAGTGGAAAATGACTTGCGCCTTAATTATTTTGGTAATTAGGCCCACAGTGGCCGGGAGCAGGAAGGAGGGTGACTGCGTTCAGCCAGATTGCCCAGGGAGCTGGCTGTGTAGACAGGCCCATCATTTCCTAAGATCCCCATGGAGCGGACCCCTGTGCCCTGTTTTCCCACTTCCCCCCAAGGCACCTCAGGCTCAATTAGAGCCCTAACACCCCTTACTGGACTGAGTGGGGGCCTCAGGAAGCAGAGTCAGGCCTGACCCCCATCTGTGGACTGCCTGGGACTTAGGCGGAGCTCCTCAAAGCGGGTTTTCCTTCCTCGTGCTATGCCAGCCCCTGTGCCGAGTCAGATGGGGCCCTTCTCCTTGGACTGGAAGTGAGGGAGCTCAGGTGGGGGAGGGGAGACCTGCTGGCTAAGCCAGGAGGAGCAAAGGCAAGGCCCCCCCACCCCTTCCCCCTTCCATCCCCAGGCCAGTCCTGTCCTCTTGCCCTCCTCTCACCCTCTCCCTCCCCATCCTCCACGTCCCCATCCCCTCCTCTCCCACCCCCTCCCGCCTCCTCCTGCAGGGTCTCTGTCCCTTCCCTGAGAGCCCCGGTAATAACAGCCTCCAAACCAGCCCAACAGGTCCCAGCAGCCCGACTGGCCCAGCCCTGGCCCAGAGGCAGGTAAGGAGGTGGGGCAGTGACTCCCCAGCTGCTGGCTGCCTGAAAGCGCCAATTATCTCTGCAGTCTGCTCCTGCCCAGCCCGCCCAGCTGGGGGTGGCGTGGGGGCTGGGGGCTGGGAAGGGCAGGACACCCTGGACCCTGCTGCAGTCCAGCGACAGCCACACCAGCCCGCCCAGGAGAGCCTGCTTCTGTGAGCTGGCAGGTCTGAAAAACTCTGCCAAGCCTGGCACATTGGCTCAGGTTTAACTACTCACTGATCCAACCACCCAGTTGAAATGAGTGAAGTTTCAGAAAAGGAGATGTAAAATTTCAGAAAAAAAAAAATAGCAATTTTTTTTTCTTGCTGGACACTTCATTGTTTAAAGCTTTGCTGTAACCTGTCTGAGAAAATCCCTTTCAGAGCCAGGGTTTCCCCGACTCAGTTTTAGCCACCTGGCCTTTTCTTGTCCCTTAGCCAGTGACAGGGGCTGGTGGGAACAATGTGGAGCCTGTGTGTCATTGTAAGTGTGAACGTGAAAGGATGCATGTGTCTGTATCTTTATGAGCAAATAAATGTGACCCAGGTGGCCTCCATTCAAATCCCAGCTCCTCTTCTTCTTAGCTGTGTGACCCTGGGCAAGTTACTTAACCACGCTGTGTCTTAGTTCTCCCACCTGTAAAATGGGTAAATGCAAACTGGGTAAAGGAAGAGAAACCCACCTCCTAGTGTTGTTATGGGGACTGAATGAACGAATAAAGGTAAAGCACTCAGCAGAAGCCATGTGCTGGGCATGATTGAAATGTTTGCTGTCATTACTATCATTAATACCAGTATTAACAGAATTGGAATTAATAGTCCTATCATTGCTGTTATTATTACTTAAAAACGTGTCTGGCCCCAGAGGCTCTAGGGGAGAATCCATTTCCTTACCTTTCTCCAGCTTGCAGAGGCCACCGCATCCCTGGGCTCCTGCCTCCCTTCCTCCACCTTCAGAGCCGGCCTTGTTGCATTTCTCTAACCAGCTTCCCTGGTCAGGTCTCTCTCTCTCTGTCTCTCTCTCTCTCTCTCTCTGTCTCTCTCTCTCTCTGTCTCTCTCTCTGTCT